TGATATTTCCTGTGATTCCGTTCATCTTAACTCAACACAGTAATTAGTTCCTGACGATTTTTAACTCGAATATAAAAAAAACATGTTTAAATAAATAACATTTTATCAATATGTAATTATATAAGAACATAATAGTGGTATTTCTTCAAATTGTTTGTTATAATATTTTGTATCAAAACCAAAAGTGGACCATTTATTATAATACGGGAAAAACTACTGATTGAGAAAAATAGCTGTGGGTGAGCAATCACATTGACCCCTCATATGTAGTGTTGGGAAACATGTTTTTATTTTTATCGATAATTTCATCGTATAAAATATTAGTAATATCTTTATATGATGATCCTCTAAGTCGTGATGTTTGCATTATTTATACATCACTACACAAAGATATTCTATATATATATATATATGTTTTCTTTACAAGGATAATTTTCGTACGCCCACTAAAACCCATGTCATTCGATAGCTCGTAAATTGGATTTATCTCCAAACGTTGTATCTTTATATTAATATTTATTAAATATAATAAATAATATACATATAATATTTGTTTCTCAAAGAAACGTTTATATCGTGTTTATAAATATTGCTTTAGTTAATATATTCATTTCTTTGTATAGGTTATCATATATAAATGTTTAATGTTGTATATCTTCTTCTTTTTCCTGGCAATTTCAGAGGTTTAGCCAGGGTCTGCCTTGAATGTTGTGAATAGTTTTGGCTAATTGTTTTTAAGACCGCCCGCTTGACTGACATCAACCCTCTTTTGGTATGCATTAATCAGTGATGTCTAAAGTTAGAAGTCTAAAGACTCTTAGAAAGTTAGTATGACTCGGAAAAATCACATTGGTACTTGCTAGGATCGAACCCGCGCCCTCGTGCATGAGAAGCGGGCCTTTCAACCACTAGGCCATCACTGACAAAATAAACATGAAAAGAAAAAAAAATAAACTTATAAAAATATAATAAAAACATCGATATTACAGTATTCGTCACTATTCTAACAGAAATTGAATTTCTCGTATATAACACCAGTTACTGGTTCGCCGCCAATGTGTGAAAAAAAGGCGATAATGAAATACCGAATGGTCACTTTATTTTTATCGTGTAAGCTTATACATAATTCTTGATATACTCGTACCTATTTGTAAACACCCACGCATATTTTAAGAGATAAATAGATTTTTTTTTACTTTAGATCTAAGATTTTCATTTTTCATTTAAATGAAACTAATGTTTTTCTGATATACTACGTAACTTTATTTTTGATAAAAAATTAACCGTTATCATTGTTGCTAAAAAGTAGTCGAAGCGTCGGGAGTATGTAGTTTTTTTTTTAAATAATGTCGCGTAGTATATACTAAAAATATTAGTTTCATTTAAATTATATATAAACTTCATACATACATATTTATTATTTTATTAAAAGAAAGTATATTCGTTTCTATGAAATATAGAAACTACAATATTACGTCTAGAATATAGATCGAGATGAAAATAGTTTTATTGGCAATATACTGTTTAATGTCTTTATGATAATTTAAGTTCACTGGTTGATTAAATTCTTGACCTTGTATATATAATATTTTTATGACTGTATATATTTATGAAGAATATAAATCATAAAGGCTGACTTATAAATAGTAGGTTACATAACTTTATTGTGTATTGTAGTTTAATTTTGGTTTTTTTTTTTACTTTTTTATACAAGATAACAATAAGAAAATCTTTATTTCATAATCAGATTGAACTTTTAATGAGATCTAAGATTTTCGCGAGTATTATTCATTTAAATTAAACTTTAAATAATATTTTTCGCATATATTACGCCATTTATTTTTATTTTTATAAATAGTATGTAGTATGTAGTTTTTTACAAAAATAAAACAGGTAGTATATCCGATAAAGATTATTTTCATTTAGATTAAAGTATTCTTTACAAATTGAATAATATTATCATTATAGGTGACAATCCATATTATATATACATTTATCAATATCTTATATATAAAATTCTTGTGTAGCGGTGTTAGACTGAAAACTCCTCCGAAACGGCTGGACCATTTTTGATGAAATTTTGTGAGCATATTGAGTAGATCTGAGATTAGGTCAACATTTATTTTTCCATACTCTTAGTATTAAGTGCTGCTCACCCTTAATTTTTTTTGGGATGATTTTTTTTTTTTTTTTTTTTATAATGTAGCATTAAAAAATACATACAATCAACAATAAAAAAATATTTATGTATTTAAATCTCATAATATAAAACCATGAAATAAATAGTTCAGAAATATTTAAATTTAGCTTCGGGTTATAAAACTGAGTCTAGGTTTGTTTTGATTATAAAATGACCAACTGGGATCATTTGAGAGCTAGTTCAATTCATTCTGTCGAGGTCAATAACCTCTATCTGTCATTTGGAAGTTATTGAAGAAATGAAAATCTTTATATATATAATTCTTCTGTGAGTGTGTATGTCACTGAACTTCTCTCAAACGAATGGGCTGATTTTGATGAATGTTTTTGTGTGTGTTCAAGGGGATCTGGGAATTGTTTAGATCCACAATTTTGTTCGCTGGACAATGTTTTTTTAATTAATTTTTAATTTATTAGTAGTTGTTGATACAAACTTTTTTTTTGACATTCGATTTGACAACTAACTAATATGTCAATCATTCTGTCGCACTTCAAAACACGGAGATTTATGGCTACTCCAAATACTCCAAATACTCCAAAAATATAAATAAAAAAACGTAACAGATATTTCTTGATTATAGGGCGATACGAAGTTCGCCGGATCTTCTAGTATATCTTTATAATGTAAATGAAAATTATGACAAGTCTAAATAGATGAAGTCGTAATAATTTGTCTATGTCAAAAATGTTTTTATCTTGAAAATTTTAGCACACTTTATATTTGTTACTCGTTGGAATATATCAACTATTATCAAAAATTTTAATTTTAGTTGTGTATTATTTCATGTTATTTGTTACTTTCATAAAGTTTCATATCATAGTTCGTTTTCAAATAAGTTTCATTCGAATTTCTAAATAAATTGTAAAGCTAGAGGTTTAAAATCTGTTTGAAACCTAAACTATTATGTATTTAAAATGAAAACAGCTATTTTTTTTAATAAAAGATTTAGTATTTCAGACTAAGTAAATGGGGCACTTTTTTATAGTGAATTCATGTTTCTTAAGATCTTAAGTATATAAAGCAATAATTTAATCAAACTGTGACAATCACTTATCGTAATTATAATCACTTTGTCCTTACCACAAGTCTTGTGTTACTATTGCAAACACGTTTACGATTTTGTCTAAACGACGTCATTAGGTTTATTTTGATCTAATCTGAAAGAACAAATTAACGTTTTTAAAATCAGGTTAAAATTATAACAGTTTAAGATATTTTTTGTGTTTTATTCTATGTTATAATGATAATAAGGTTCAAATCTTCTTTTTAGTAAATTGTTATTATATTTATTTAGTTTCATTTAACATTTTAGTAAAAGTTCGTCATATACATATATATATAAATAATGATTCCGCTGTCTATATATAATAGTAGTATTGACTGGGGAATTTATTGAAGTAAATCTAAATTGGCTTTCAACCAATTTCTCGCAACACATATGCTATATCAAAAAGACGGTCTTATATTACACAGCTATTTGAAGTTACGTTTAATTTTAAATTTCTTTTAGACGAAATTAATATGTTTCGGATATACTAGCGGTTTTTTTATAAAAAAAACTACATAGTATATGGAATATGTATACGTAAAATATTAGTTTCATTTAAATGAATAAAATTCCCGAAAGTCTTAGATTTTATTTAAATTTCGTTTAATTTTTGCAACACGTTTTCTGTTTGTATTCGAAACCATTGTTATTTTCTTTATTCTCTTATATTCTATACTAGCTTTCCGCCCGCAGCTTCGCCGCGTGGAGTTCGGTTATATCGCGTTTCCAAGAGAACCTTTCAAAAGTCTGGGATAAAAACTATCCTATGTTCTTTCTCAAGGTCAACTCTATCTCTGTACCGAATTTCATTAAAATCAGTTCAGTGGACAGACAGACAGAGTTACTTTCGCATTTATAATATTAGTAGGGATAATTTAATTAAGAAAATTAGTTAATCTTGTACTAAAATAAAAATGTTCCTTTATTACTTAAGTAATAGAAAAATTTTGCTGATTTTTTTCTTTATTTGAAATTATAATACGATAGTTCTCTGTCTGTCGGAACATGCAAATGATATTGAATTCATAGACGAAGTTAAATGAGTATTTTATAAGAATTTCAGACGATAAATTTTGCTTCATTCTTCTATAACTGATAAAGTTTTAACGAAATAACTACGTGAATAATTTAATTTATAGTTTTATTATTATTATTCTTTATGATATCCATATTGTTACGTACGCGTTACATTTTAAAAAAGTAAATGAACTACGCCAAGGTAACGTCGTTGTATGTATAAAATATCATATGACGAGTGACGCTGCTGACTTCCGCGGTACGAACACCAAGCCGTGTGAACCAGAAGATTCCTGATACTACACATGCTATTGAATGGTATTGCTATCCTAACATCGGGGCAATCATGTAGTCTTAGGTACAGGTTATAAGTTTTAATATGTATGTAGTTATTATTATAAGTATGTATCTTATAAGTAAGCCTCGTAGTTGTCCTGGAACCTTCGGTTTCCACCCAAACATAAATAAATGATTATTATTTATTATTTGTGTAGTAAATAAAGCGACGACAAAAAATTTAACATTTATTTAACATAGCACATAAAGGCAGTGTGGATTACATCTTATATCTCTTGGACAAATAAAATATATATCAATACAAAGATCTATGAACATTTATAACACTACATAAGCTATTGTCATAATCATGTGTAAAAATCTGAATATAGGAACTTACAAGTACAATGGTATCTATGTATAATAAATGCAATGTTAATTGTTTAACCGAATGTTATATTAAACGAAACTCTCGTTGTTTTTAAAGTCGTATACAAATATATTTCTGCTCTCCTGAGCCGGGACACACACGAACCTGTTCCTATCACACTTTTCATTGACGTCTAACGTCACTGATTGTATATTATTAGTCTTAAAATCTAGATTTAAAATCTGTAACTGTTTATTTTTCTCTACAGCGAGTTCATTCTCGTTGTGAACATCAACATTCACTGTATTCGGGCTTTCGTCTTTGTCACTCTTCAAGCTATCTGCTTTGATAATTTCACCCAAATTATCGTTTAATTCGTTCATAGCTGCTATAATTTTCATACTATTACGCCTTGTATTCTCAACGTTAATAATCTCACCGACTTTGACTTGTTGAACTTTTGTATCAAATATCTCTTTGACTTCGTTTAGTTTTTTACTATCTCTATTGATAAAATGTTTTTGAGACGACGCCCTGTTGCTATATCTCCGCCAGAATGAGTCAGATGTGTTCTGACTGCTCGAAAAACCAGTAGACGTTCGTAGTATTGAAAGTGTCACGTCTTTGCATATTCTCTTTCAAACTTCTACTGCACGTCATAAGTTTATTGACCTTCAATAATTTAACAAAACCTTCCCTAAACTTTGAAGACATCAAGTTGTACAAAATCGGATTGATGGCTGAATTTAGATACAGCATAACTCTACAAAAATATAGGAGTATATAATAGCCATCTATACCTAAAGATAGTATCGTCTCCGGTGGAAAAACAATTATCCATAGCGTGAGTGCTTAAAAGGAAGTAAACAAATGAAAAACGATAGTACAACAGTCCCTAACATAAGGATGACCTGTTTCCGATATCTTAACACATTGCCAGCGTTGTTAGCGTTTTTGCCCTGTTGGGATATGATGATGGGATTTTCCATGAGGTTCTTGGCGATGATGCTGTACAGAACTAGAAGTACTCCTAGAGGGATGATGAAGAAGATAGCGATGATGAGGATGAAGAATAGTGCTGACCAGAATGTGTCAGCCTGTGTTAGGCAGACGGGGACCTCGGTGCCATCGTGGTATCTTTCGTGGGTGAATGTAGCTACTCCCAGGATGGGGCTGAAAAGAAAAAAGAATGTTCTTTGAAAAAACTTGATGTTTTTCCTACCTTATAAAAGCTTATATATAAATATTAATGTTATATATTTATCAAATCCTATTTAATAAGTTAATTAATAAAATTTTTATTTATTCATGTTTGAATCAATTGAGATTTGCTAAACTCAGTTTATTTTATGTGTGATTTCAAAAACACATGTGTCTTATTTGAATATAAAGACCTATTTCACGTGTAATAAATTATTATTTAATACTTTTTTTACCGACCTCCTTTATAATACAGATATTTATAGGTTAATACCCTATTATCAGATTTCATATTCTTAAAAATAAACTTATTAGATCATATTATTTATAAAAATTAAAGAAAAAATGATTCTTTTCTGACCATATTTGTAGCAAAACAAAACCATCAAGATACGTAGTAATCACGTTCATAAGGATGTTGAGTAATAAGTTTCATTTTACTTAATTAAATGAATATTCAGTTTGATGCATAATACAAGCTTATTTACAAAAAATAATACATCCCTACTAATATTATAAATGCGAAAGTAGCTCTCTGTTTGTCTATTACGCTTTCACGCCTAAACCACTATACTGATTTTTATGAAATTTGGTACTGAGATAGAGTTGACCTTGAGAAAGATCATACGATAGTTTTTATCCCAGACTTTTGAAAGGTTCTCTTGGAAACGCGATATAACCGAACTCCACGCGTACTAATCTGCGGGGGCTAAAGCTAGTATAACAGCAGTCGAAATAATATAAGATACAGTTAATTTTTATTGATCACGATTTTGAATAAAAATTCCTTACAAATTTTACGAAACAATGAAAAAAATCTAAATGGTGGCAATAAAAAGCTGAATACAATAACGTTTACTAACAATAACCTATAAATTTAAACCTGCGCATAATTTTAACTCCCAAACAATACGACATGTGTTGACTTTTGGGTTAAATCGTATATTTTTCGACCACACAGAATGTTCTTGCATTGGTAAAATATCACTTTAATTAATTGGTCATTTAAATTTATAAGGATTGTAAGTAATTTTATAAGAAAAATATAAAGTTATATATGTAGTTATGAGACTTATAATAATGTTTAATTACAAGATAATTATTTTTATATGAAATATTTCTAAATGTTGTATTTTTGGTCTCTGGATATATTTTAATAACTGTCAGCTAAATAATGTGTTTTGTAACAAACTTGCATTCACTCTTATGTATAGATGGATAAAACATTTTCGTGATTTTTATCATGTATCTTTTTTGTTATACTAACATGTATAATTAAATAATTACGTTAAATGCTAGTCTAGTAATAATATTTGTAATTCTTTCAAATTTATTTTATATATGTATACTGATTTCAAAAGTAATTATAAAAAAGAATATTTAATAAAATAATATAATTACATACGTTCTTTATTAAATAATACTTACCTGACCTTAATAAGACGTACTGAAAAGGAATTGACAAAACATTGATAAATATTTTTGTAACCCATTTATATTTTGTATATATATAGATAATACAATTTATTATACGAGCAATATATATAATTCAGTATAATTCTAAAAACAATTTTCAACAATTATTGTAAAGCTAAGTATAATAAATAAGCTGATTTATTATAAGTATAATACAACAACATTTTTAAATATATTTTCTCTAAGTCATGAACACAGTAACACAAATTCACAATGCTTAATACCCAAAAGCAAATCCTATATAATTATTTCTCTTCACATATTCTATACAATCAGTCTAAATAAAACTACACGTACAAATACAAATATGAATAAAGTTTTTATGACGAAACTTGACAAAGTAAATTTTCTATACAAATGTATATCAAACGAAACTTTCAGGTAGATCACATATACTCTTAGACTTGAAGCCGACCACGCAATCAACTTTTATCTTTTGGTAGGCAACAAACTTCTTATTCGGGTCATCCAAGCTTTTTGCTTTTGCGCTATTTATTAAAACACTTCGCCTAAGCGATCCGTGGTTCCGATTAGACTCTAATTCAATATCTGATCTATCTTTACTTATAGTGGAATGTCTAATAAATTTCGTAGTATCGCTCCCACTTCCATTGTTTTTATTGATTCCCAAAGCATCTGATATTTCAAGCATACTCCCTTCACTCCTCATTCTATTTATTACTTTAGTTTTCGGATTCGAGCACACCGGAGCCGATTGTTGTCTTATAAATCTTTTGCTTGTCAACATCTTTTCGAAGAATCCATTGGATTTGTTTGAATCTTCGTCTTTGGTTACTCTACTATTTGATTCTACCTCACTTTTGTCTAAGCTACTTCTATGTGTAAATAATTTCTTCAAGCTATTCGTAGTCCTTGTAAGACTACTGCTTGTTGTAGATCCATTTGTAACAGTTCTCTGGACTCGTCTATTCTGTGTCCTATCTAAATTTTGCTTATAGCATATACATATCTTACAGAATCCGATACGAAATTTGGATGACATTAGGTTATATAATATTGGATTTATAGCCGAATTAATATAAAGCATTATTCTAGAAAAATATAATAGATTGTACCATTTCTCTGGACTAACATTGTCTGATAGTTCAGACGGAGTTATAATAATCCAGAGAGCGAGTACTCTATAAGGCATGAGACATAGAAAGAAGCATAGAACTACAGTACCAAGCATCAGAATGACTTGTTTTCTAGCTCTCACATTGTACGGATCTACAGTTTTATTTAACACAACTTTAGATGCAGCTGTTATTAAGTTTTTAGCGATCACAGTGTATAGAACTACAAGAATAAATAAAGGTAGGAGATATAATAAGATGATGACTGTCATGAAGAACGTGATCTGCCAGAAAGTGACGGCTTGGGTCAGACATTGCTGGAAAGTGCCATCTTGTCTCGTCACCGTTTGAATCTCCGCTATCGCCAGGATCGGACTGAAACAGAAGAAAACTTAAACTACTAAACTATTCTATAACAAAAACAAAAATAATAAAAATATTCATACAATCTATTCGTATAAAAACATCGAGTAACAGTTAAATCACCGTGTTAAAAAAAAGAAGTCATCTACAACCAAAATAGATATTACGAAGAAATATAAATACAAATAAATATGTATAACCGAAAATTAAATCAAAAAACACCACGAACCGAACATTTGTAAGTCACATGTGTGCAGAAAATAACAAAAAAGAAATAATAATAATACATTTAAATGTGCAAAGCTGTAACATTTAAAGCTCTCCGTACATTAAAGCAATTTATATATTGGTATGTACGAACCTTGTTTCAAAAAGGGTTCTTTTAATATCAAAAGCCGATAACGATATTTGTAAACGATCCAGGTTAACACTTTGTCCGAGTCAGTTTAACGGAAAAGTGTTTCACTTCATTTGTTTTGGTATAAGCATTAAACAAATATTCATTCTTATTTTAGACAAGCATTAAGCTGCTTAATACTCGTTTATAAATACTTTATAAATTAACAAATCATTCATTAATTCGCGGTAAATTTGTTCAAATGAAAATGTTCACGCTCATACAATGAACATTCGAAATAAATTTTATACTGATATTACTTCTATAAAGAACAAAATATCGTTTAAAATCTAGAAATGACGTCATAAAGTAGATCTAAGTCAATTATTTAATATAATGATTATCATTTTAATTTCAAAAAGATCGTGATCATCTCATTCATTTGTATCAGGATTATAATAATTCATTCGTATTCATAATTTAAATGTAACAATTCATTCATTCGTTCACACACTAGGAGCATTGAACACAATAACACTGCTCTTGTCTTGTAGTATCTATTGTGTATAAACGGAACTAATATATCGGACAGTTATAAATGTACACAGAGTACTGCATATGCAAATGTTTCTTACATAATTTGGATGCATACTTTATATATATATATATATTTATGACGCAATATAAATAACTATATTTCTTTATTTGGGACAATTCATAAAATACTAAAAGATTTTTTTTGGTCTTTTTTTAAAAGCAAATTATAAAATGATCAATTTTTTTTTATTTTCTTTTTGTGTTATATCGTTTGTTAAAGATATTTTTAATATATGTGTTAATAGTCTATCATGTTTTTGCTCTAATTCCTTTTTTTGGGATTTATAATTAAAGCAAAACCAAGTACAGAATAAAGAATGTCTAATATGTATATTACTGATTTTTAATACAGTTCCTTAACATATTTTGTAATAAAGGATCTGTGTTTAAGCTACTCTGTGTAAAGTCGAAGCTATGAAACAATAAGTACGCTGACATCGGACGTTTGGTTGCTTTTATTGAAAGTCCTGTACGTACAAATATATAGTTTTAAATAATAAATACAACTAGTTTATATGAAGTATTTAAATACTACACACAACATATATTATATATCAATATACTCATATAATGTTCTTAAAACGATATACAAATTGAAGAATAAAGACTTTGTTTTTGGTTTGAAATTTACGGAACCAAAAAACACGGAATAATCTTTATATACCATTCAATGTCCGAATTTTAATTCCGAGATTACAGAAAATACTGCAGGATGAATCGCTTATTGGTTGTTAATGGAAAAATATTTATGTTTGTTTAAGAAAATTGATTCGATTTCGGAAAGAGAAATGGCTTGAAATGAAGACATTTAATGTTTGTTTTAATTTTGATTTTGCCTTGATAACTAATGCAGGCAGTATTGATGGCATTATGGAGTTTTGTTACTGGAATTATACAGGGTGACTGGTGAATTACTATCGATACTTGAGGACGTGATATTTGACGATCATATATGACAAAATAAAAATTAATATAACATAAATATTAATAAACTTCTAAGTAAAGTTAACCAAAAGTTATGTAATTAATTACGCATCGTGTGAACACCCTACAGATTAGGTATACACTCACACACACATACGCGTGCAGCGGCGTAGTGTTGTATCAGCACGCCGCCGCAAGCGTCCACACTTGGAACACTTGGAACGTGTCAACACTTTATTTATTTATACGGAAATTTGGTCAAAAATTAAGTGCCTATTTTTTTACATAATTCGAATGAGAATCATGTACCGAGTATTCTCCTTAAATATTGATAGTAATTCACCAGTCACCCTGTATATATATATTTAGCTTAAAATTGAAGCTGATAGTGTTATAAAAATACTATATCACTGCTTATTTCAATCAATTGAATAAAATTAAAATATATGACTAACAATTCATCATAATAAAGACGATTTGAAAGGTTTCGATCGTTTGAAATAATCTTACAGCCGATAATGTTTACCATGAGTTCCATCGTCACTACATACGCAGCCGTTCCAGTTTTTCATTACAAAACTTAATAAATTAATGTTTTAACGTTAATAAATAAGACGCGGTGTTTATAGTTTAGTGTGACGATGGAAACTTGTACTAAGTGTAAAGAATCTTTACCAACTCTTTGTACCATTTAATGAAAAGACACTTAATTTTTTATCTATAAATATTCGTATATTATAGTCTTAACAGAGCTATATGAGAGATTTTTTTAACTATCTGTTTTAAGTTTAACGAGGCTTACAAGTACTAAGGTTAGAACTAGGGTCAACGGTATTTTTATTTAGAAAAAACGCAAATATCATTAATTTAGAATCAATTGATATTAAGTGAAATAATACATTTCGGGTTCTATAGTGTTAATATTCAAATTTATAACTATTTTATGAATTTCCATGAATAAAAGATATGAAGAGACGAATATAGTATCATCATTAAATCTCTTCTTCTTCTTCTACCTGGCAATTTCCCAGCTATAGCCAGGGTCTGCCTTACATGTTGTGAATAGTTTTGGCTATTTGTTTTTTTTTTACGACCGGCCGCCTGCCTAACATCAACCCTCTCTTAGGAATCAACGTTAATCAGTGATGTCTAAATAGTCTTAGAAAGTACATATGACTCGGAAAAATCACATTGGTACTTGCCCGGGCCAGGATCGAACCCGCGCCCTCGGCTACGAGTGGCGGGCCCTTTAACCACTAGACCACCACTGACTTAAGAGACGAATATAGTATCATCATTAAATCTGTAACTAAATTTTAATGAAACTTATATTTTTCGGATATAAACGTACTTTATTATTGTAAAAAACTACATGATTTTCGACGTTTCTTCTACTTTTCAGCAACCATGATCACATTCGGTAGCCGAAACATCGGGAGTATGTAATTTTTTTCAAAAATAAAGCACGCTTGGTATATCCGAAAAATATTAGTTATCTCACTCTCTAACTAAAATCTTAACTGCTCTTTGACCGTTTGTTAGAAGGTAGGTTAAACTTGTAGTTAAGTTTAGTTCAGTCCTTGTTAGTTCCCGTTTGGTTTGTTAGAATTGAATACTTGATTAAAGGATAGTTTTTTTGAGTAATCTTCTTATAACTGAAATTATAGATCTTTAATAAATTTAGCCTCTATAATAATTTTCATACTGTTTTGAATGTAAAAAACATAATAATGAGTATTGTGTATTATATATGTTAAAATTTATATCAAACTAATTTGTTATATAATGATATCCTATACTGTCGCGAATATTTATTTAAATGAAACTAATATTTTCGGATGTACTGCGCGATTTTTTTTAATTATTTTGAACTAAATGTTCACGAAAAGATTTTTATTTCGTCTGCCCGTGATCACGGTTGCTACAAAGTAATCGAAACATCGGGAGTATGTACATAGTTTAAAATATTAAAACGCATAGTAATTCCTAAAATATTAGTTTTATTATAATGTTGTATATTTTTAGTAAATGCTCTTTAAGCGCAATAACATTGCAAGCGACCGACACGTTAACTAACTTATAATTAGCAGTTTTTGTTAGAGTTAGTCTAGAACTTTCCTTTGTTGTGAAAGCGTTTATTAGTTGGTAACGCAAAATTTATACAAAACAGCAAAAATAATAGAATTTGTAAACAAAAACAGGTTCTTACGTAATGTGTATCAAATTATTTGTTTTATTTGTTTATTCGTCAATCCATTCAGGCATTGCGGTAAAGGCGAGGAGAAAACCCGACGTAATTTGCCAAACGCTGCCCAACCTAGCTGAATCCTGCGATCGATTTCCTTCTCGAAGTTGTTTCTACCAAGCTGGATAACTTGTCCAAGGTAGGTATACTCTTGAACAACTTCGAGAACCGATCCGTCGACATAAACCGGTCTCGGCACGACATGTTCGTTGAACATAATCTTGGTTTTATCCAAGTTCATGCCGAGACCAACGCGTCGTGAGGCTCCATCTAGGCTGTGCAGCATTTCGCTCAGCTGTTCCAGTGACTCCGCAACGATGACGATATCGTCGGCAAACCGAAGGTGTGAGATGTACTCGCCATTTATGTTAATGCCCCGTCCAGTCCAGTCCAACGTCTTGAAGACGTCCTCGAGCGCGTTGGTAAAGAGCTTGGGGGATATTACATCCCCCTGCCTTACCCCTCGGCGCAACTCGATTGGTTTGGTCTTTAGGTCCTGGAGCTGGACGGTCATGGTAGCGGTTTCATAAAGACATCTCAACACCTCGATATAGCGCCAATCGACGCGGCACCGCTGCAGAGCATCTAGAACTGCCCAGGTTTCGATGGAGTCGAAGGCTTTTTCGTAGTCCACAAAAGCCATACACAGCGGCTGATTGTACTCCTCGGTCTTCTGCACAATCTGCCGAACAGTATGGATGTGGTCTACAGTGCTGTAGCCTTTTCGAAACCCGGCTTGTTCGGGTGGCTGGAACTCGTCGAGTTTTCTGGCGAGGCGGTTTGTGAGTACTCTCGAGAACAACTTGTAGATGTGGCTCAGGAGTGAGATGGGTCTATAATTCTTCAGCAAGGTTTTGTCGCCTTTTTTGAAGAACAGAACCACCGCACTCCCGCTCCACGCCCGAGGTGTTAAGCCCTGGTGGATGACGGAATTAAAGAGACTCGCTAGCTCATTCAGAACCGGTGTCCCGCCCGCTTTTAGGAGCTCTGTCGTGATTCCGTCATCCCCTGGGCACTTGTTGTTCATAAGTTGCTCAAGAGCAACTCGAACCTCGCCCTGGTCGACATCAGGGATGTCTTCGGTGTAATGGCGCGTGAGTGGGGCTCTGTGGTCACAATCGCTGGATCTCGTTGGTTTGGTCATCCGTGATGCGTAAAGGCGTTTGTAGAAACTCTCAATTTCCTCTAGAATCTCGAACTTAGAGGTGACGGTTTTGCCATCCGCAGTGTTAAGTTTCGTCAGATGAGTTCTACCAAGCTGGCGAGCGAAAACTTTGGTGCCTCTGTTTTGCTCAATAGCATCCGCAATCATGCGGGTATTGAAGCAACGGAGGTCACGTCGCACCAGCTTCCGGATCTTCCTATTGAGGTTTCTCCCATCCGACGAAGACGATTGCGTTGATGACATTTCTCGTCTCTGCCTCATTAGTTCGAGGGTCTCGAGTGAGAGTTTAGTATGCCCTTTTACGCTTTTTCCGGGAAACATCGTTCGAGATACCTCCTGAAGCGTTTTGACCACTGTGTCGGTCTTCTCGTCAACATTGCTAAGGGTTTCCAGTAGTGCGAAACGATTTCGAAGCTCCAATTGGAACTTTTCGGATCCCATTGCCATTTGAGGCGCAGTAGGTCGGAGTGTAGAACTCATCATGCGACGCCTTTCGGCTTTGAAATTCATATTCAGAGTGCCTCGGACAAGTCGGTGATCGCTTCCGGTATTAAACCTATTGATCACTGAGACGTCTCTAAATATGTACCTCTTGTCTGTCATAATGAAGTCAATCTCGTTCCTCGTCGCAGTATCGGGGCTTCGCCAGGTCCACTTTCTATGGGGCTTCTTCTTAAAGAATGAGTTCATTAAGAAGAGCCCTTGTGACTCCAGAAAGTTGACCAGCATCTGCCCCCTGTGATTTCGGCACCCTACGCCATGGCATCCGATTTTCGTTTCGCCGCGTTCCTGTACTCCCACTTTAGCATTAAAATCCCCCATAACAACATTGTAGTGAGCCTTGGTTGTACCATGTAATGCCTTAGCTATGTCTTCGTACATGGCTTCGGCAACGTCGTCACAATATGTCGAAGTCGGCGCATATACCTGTACCACCTTCAGGAAATGCCTGTCGGTGATTTTAAGTATGAGGTACGCTACCCTTGTCGACACACTGTTGACCTCCACAATGTTGTTAGTGAGAACTTTATTAACGAGAAAACCCACACCGCCCTGAGAGGCCCGATCACCTTCCCGGAAGTAGAACTGGTGGCCTGACTCAAGGGTTATCGTATCCTCCCCCTTTCTTCGGACTTCAGATAACCCCAATATGTGCCAGTTTATGCGACCTAGTTCTACTTCCAGTTCGGTGAGGTGTTGGTCCAGCCGTAGAGAGCGTCCATTGTACGTAGCCAGGGTCAGTTGGTTTTGGTAGCCTTTTCCCGTAACCCGGAGATTCTTCGCACCCCCTGTCCCGCCGTTACCGCGGCCGCTACCGTGACAACGGACAGCGGGACTACCGGGAACGAATAGGGTTTGTTTCGAATTTTCCTTTTCTGGTATTGGTTCTTTACGTTTTCCCTTAGTCGCCTTGTACCACCCACGGGAGGAGAATAGCGACAAATGTATTCTAAAGCCGTCGCTCATTCATTGATCCATTCATTCATTCATTCATTGATTCATTCATTCATTCGTTAGTTCATTCAATCATACATTTATTCATTCATTTATCATTTTATTTATCATATATATATAATATTTGCTTTGGTATATTAGAATAAATAATTATTTTACGAAGTAATTAAAAAAAATTATAAAGTCTGACTTAATTTATGTTAAAAAAGATATTTTTCCTATACCATACTTATATACGTTAATAAATCTGACCAAGTTTTATAAGAATAAAATAATATAAGCCAAATTACACTCTGTGTTAACCAAAGCTGTTTGCTTTTCGAAGTCTAATTGGCTTACACTTTTCAAGGCTAAAAGGCTTTGGACTTGAAATTGGGACAAAACAATGTATAGAATAATTAATTCAGCAAAAACGGCTGTGACGGTATATTTAAGTATATAAAAAAGGGAGTCTAAGAGATGATATCATTACAATGGTATTACTTTAATAAGCCATTATAAATTGGTCTCCCTTTAAGACTTTTTGAGTCAATATTAATTTTTTTTATCATTATTTAATATTTGGAATTGCTAAAGCAACATTGTAATGTAAATAAATACTTGTCTTATAAGAGCATAAGCCAAGCTTTCAATCCAGATTATAAAAAATTTTCTAGATATATTAAGTAATATTGTATAAAAATAATATTTTTATTTGAATATATATATCGAAATATTAATTTATTTTTTGTAAATAAGGAAGGGCGATTCTTTTTTAATAAGATAAAATTTAAAATATATTTAAATGAATAAAATATGGAGAAGTTTCGACAAGAGAATCGATAAAAGTGCAGATTAAAATTGTGTATACAATCTCTAGAACAGAAACTCTTACAATTTTGGGATGGAATATTTTGTCCAACACAAATGTTCTATTACAGATTTTAAAAAATGTCCAATATTGTAGATTTCGAGCGAAATCTAAAGTATTTTTTTCCGTATTAAACATGATTTTTGTTTTCCCTTATTTATAAAAAAGGTTGCCAATAAAAAAATGGTATTTATATGAACCATACCTAGTAAATAAAGCAGCAAAGAACCAGGCTAATGCGCATATGAGGGTAGCCCTAGTTTTTGTGCACACGTAGCCCGCTCGCAGAGGTTCACAGATAGCGTAGTATCTCTCGAAGCTGATGGCTAGAATCGTGAGCACTGAAGCGTGGGCAACTGTGAGCTCCACGAATGGTACGGCCAGACCTGGAAAAGAGAGGTCTGATTAGGTTGGTTATGAAATTCTATCATTCAACCAGAATGTTTTGATTCGAACTAATTATCGTTATAAGTAGATATAGATACTTAATTTATATTAAGATAAGTGTAGTCATTTCTTTATTTAAATAATCAGTAATTTGTCAATTTAATACTATAATTATTTTCTAAAATTTAAAAATTCATTTGAAAAATTATTACTTTTAAAAATGTTTCTTTTCGGTTGTAAAATTTATTCTATAAGCCCTCTCCTAAAAGTAAAGTAAACAATAGATAAAGGATACCAGCGATAAATTATTTTTCCTTCAACATATAAAGAACACTATAACATTTCATTTAATAACTTTTATTCTCTTTTTCACAATAATAATGAAAGAAGTATATAGCTTTTAATAAATTAAGATTGTATTTCCTTCATAATAAGCATAAATCATCATCAGTCTATTGTTATCCACTGTTGAGCAAAGGCCCCTCCTACATGGAGAAGGTTTGAGCATTAACCACAATGTTTGCTCAAAGTTGGATTGGTGATTTCAAACTTATAATTTGGTATTGTCAGTCCAGGTTTCGTCAACATGTTTTCCTTCACTGTCTGTCAGTAGTGTCTAATACTCTTAGAAAGTACATATGACTCGGAAAAATCACATTGGTACTTTCCAGGTTTCGAACCTGCGCCCTCATGCACGAGAGGCGGTCCTTTAACCTCTAGGCCACCAAGGCTTATTAAATAATCATAAATTTTATAAACTAAATATACAATTTCCTTTATAACAGCGATAGTTTAAGTTTGAGTTTCAAATCAAGAGAATAAACTACTTCAATGAGGCCAATGACTCTGGTGAACCAATACTCCTCTCCAAAGTACCCATTTGTACTAGAGGAATACTGTAAGGAGAAATTTACACTACATCTGAGATACCCATAAATCTACACCGTACCCGAAAAACAAGACAATGGACAATTTATTTTATTTTCTCACGTAATTCGGCTTGTAGATATTTTTTTATATATACAAAAAAATATTTAAATAGGATGAATAAAATACTAAAACTTTTTTCGTTCATCTAAGATTTATTTTATTGCTTTGAATTGTACTAATTTATTGTTAAAATGTATATATATATATATAGAGTTAAAGAGCTTCCTTTGTATCTCATTTTTCATGGACAGTCAATTATTATTCCAACGAGGAAAACATCTTGTGTTATTCCAAAAATCGTTTTGTCCCTTGTTAGAGCTCAGCTTTTAGAATACTTTGATATAATTTAGGATGGTTTATTTATAGCCTGTATGAATAAAGAATTAAAAAAAATCCATAGATATACACTTTCGTTTATCAACAAGGTAAGAAAATAATTTATCAATATGAATTGCTTATATGTACTATTTTAACGTTCATTACAAAAAGAAAGAAAGAATTCTTTTAAGATTTTCATAATATTATAATGCATTATAACATCTAGGATTGTTAAGTAGAATAGAAAATTACGTAAAAAATAATATTTAACATGTTGTCATATAAATCAAATTCAATTAGACGATATTTTTGGAGGTCGGAGACAAAGTTCAATAAAACGTCGAAACTGGAACGAACTTCTTCCTTTCAACGTAAACATTAATTCAACTGTTATAAAATTTATGAATCAGTGATCCCTTTAAGGCCATCAAGGGTCTGTGGGTCCCCGAATAGAGTGTCGCACACACTACTTGTCTTCACTCATAATACATATTTAACAATACAAAGTAATTCCAAGACGTAAATTTACTATTTACAAAAGGGCGGATACAAATTGTTTTAGTTCTAAATTTCTTTTGACGTATTTCATTGTTGTGGGTGTATAAATTTCTTTTTTAGATAGTTGAATTTAACTTTGTTAAAGTATAGCTTTTTTGTAAAATAGAAGTTTTATTTAAAGTTCTGCTGATATTAAAATGTTTTGTTAAATATTTGACTTACTATTAGTACTTCGTATTTGTAATTTGATATGTACATGTTCATTGTTCTAGTTTCGTCAATTGCACTTAAGCTGCACACGTTTTTGGTTACATTGGCTGTACGGGTATAACCAATGTATTAAATTTTCTATATTAACTCAAAATATAACAAAATATAATATACCCTTTATTTAAAACATATTTTTATGAGACGGTTCATCCTCAAAGATAAGAATAAAATTGAATAATATTTTTTTTCTTACTATAATATAATATATTTGAATTTTCAAATGTCTTTAAAAATACTGAATGGAATTTACAGAAACATTGAAAAATACTGAACAGTGAAAAATACTGAATGGAATTTACAGAAACAAAAAAAAAATGACATTACAATATACCTAAAACTAGAAAAAATAATTAGAAATAGCTAAATGTAGACAGATGTGTCATTTCTCTCACTAAAGTATTCGGCAAATGAGTGAATCGCTTTCAATCCACTTCGGACGCTTTCAGCGATGGTATTAAATTTCCGCGACCAAATTGTTTTGGCAAGTCTCCTTAATGGCATAGAATATTTATATAGATAAATACAAATGTTTTTGGTAACAGTTAAATTTGCTAATTTGTAAATTCTCCTATGGACTTTGTAGATTTACTTCGAAATATTAAAACAAGAAACTTTGCAAAGATCACTAGAGTATTATTTAAATTAATATTGTCATTGTAAGTGTTACTTTTATCTGAAGATAATGAATATGCATTTTAGTCAGTGGTGGCCTAGTGGTTAAAAGTCCCGCCTCTCATGCATGAGGGCGCCGCGCGGGTTCGATCCTGGCAAGAACCAATGTGATTTTTCCGAATCATATGTACTTTCTGAGAGTATTTAGACATAACTGATTAATGCACTTTCAAAGAGGATTAATGTCAGGCAGGCGGCTTGTTGTAAAAACAATTAGCCAAAACTATTCACAACATATAACGCGGACCCTGGCTAAAGCTGGGAAATTGCCAGTTAAAAGATAATGAATGTGCAGTTTTTGCAATATGTAGTCAATACGGATTGTGGTTATAGTCTGAGATACCAATATTTCCAGGAAAATTGTTGAGAAGTTATAGTTGCTTATCATAAAGAAAGTGAGATTTGGAAATAAATCAACTTTTTATAACATACACTTACTTCCAATATTAGTTATAATTTATTCCACATGTCCGTTATCAGATTTTTGGCTGGACTAGCTTTATTTTTGTTAAATGTCTACCACATTCCTTCATTAATAATTACTGATATTAATTAATAAGGTTTTAAGAATATCCGCTAAGGTTCATTGTAGTTTTTCCTAAAGAAATAGATAAATATATTTTTATTAATTTATTTCTACTGGATAAGAAAAATCAATCTCTTATTTTTTTTTAATACCAGCAATGATGAAAGACAAATCTAAGTCCCCTACTCTAACGAGCGTCACTGACGCTAATTTTAAAACCAAAACGTTCAAAACAATTGACTGTTACCTATAAGAAGTTTGCTAGAAATATAAAGAGATCAAAAATATATACAAATAGCCAAAACTATTCACAACATACCCTGGCTAAGCTAGGAAATTTTTATACACCAAAATTTCATTGATTATTTCAAATAAAAATAGATAATTTTCTTTTCAGATATAATTGCAATTGCAGTATATTATACGACTGAAAAATTATTTACTACATAGGTAACAATTAAATAACTTTTTTTTTTGTTCGTTTCACACTAGTAACTGATGTGATTATAATTGCCAGAAAATACTTTTTAAAACGTTCTTTTCATCAAAGTTGGCAGACTGCTAATAAAGAGCTCGTAAAAGGTCCCTCTTAAATTACTTCTGTGAAGTGAATTTTACATTTTTACTGCATGTTGTAGTTAAAATCGTTTATTGTTTAATTGGGTTGAATTCAAAAATCTTAAATATATTTGCCATAAATGAACTGAACCCTAATAATATTGAAATAGAATTCAAAATTATATAATGAGTTTTTTATCTTCGTAATCATTTATGATGAGCGGATGAGTGTAAAAAATATTTATTTATATCTTCCCAGTTTTTATTTCTTTGAAATTTATTTCTTTTTAAGAATTAATTTGTTAGGCAAGAGGAAGTAACATAATGATAAACATTAGACTTAAAAATATATCGTCTTTTACAGGACAATAACACGATCCAAATTACATAGCCTAAATAATTTTGTATTGGTTAACAAATAGAAACTTTGTATTTGGTGACGTAATTAGTAAAAATTTAATGTATGTATGTTCAAGAATAATTTATAGTTTCTTTTCCTTTTTAAGCAAATAGGTATTAAGATTTGAATAATATTTTAAGACTGAAAATATTTTCATACTCACCAAAGAGTACTTTATTTTGGTTTAAAATAAATTGTATTTATAATTCTTACTAGCTTTCCGCCCGCAGCTTCGCCGCGTGGAGTTCGGTTATATCGCGTTTCCAAGAGAACCTTTCAAAAGTCTGGGATAAAAACTATCCTATGTTCTTTCTCAAGGTCAACTCTATCTCTGTACCGAATTTCATTAAAATCAGTTCAGTGGTTTAGGCGTGAAAGCGTAGCAGACAGACAGACAGACAGACAGACAGACAGACAGACAGAGTTACTTTCGCATTTATAATATTAATATAATAATATAATATTAATATAGTAGGGATATGAAAAAATGTAATAAGTACAACCATTAAAACAAATTATTGCAATTAAAATACCGTCACTTGTTTAAATTGAGCAAACAGAAAAAAGTTGATAAATAACTGGCATCTTATATATACACATAAATATATTGTCCAATATAATTTTGATAAAAACTTAATCGTGTATATTTTTAATAAACAATCTAATATACATTGTATATAGGTATAGTAAATATAATGATTTAGATGAAAATAGTATTATATTTGACCAATTCTCATTTGAATAGTCTATTTTCGTCTTCAAGGGATAAAAGTTCATTGACCTATCATAGTATATATTTATTGTAATGATGTAAATTAACACATTTGGAAACAATCCATGGTCTACATTATTTTGTATTCCATAAGCGTGAATATAAAGTCACGGTCACACTCTGCCAGTTTAAACAAAGCTTTATGGAAACCAAATTGCTTATATGAATGTATAATAAAAAAGAAATGTTTTTGAGACGAAACCTCTTAGCATTCGATGGATTCACCGTGCGGGTGCCGGGTCCATCGCGTTGCAGGGAGAGGAGCTTCAACAGTGCCTGGGACTTGCGACCCAGGTGTAGGTTTAAGGGGCCCCTTAACTAACGCGCGTTATACGCTCACCTCCACTGTCCAAGTTCCTCTCCCTACCTAACCAAATTTGAAAAGAACCTACTAGGGCTGCCTTCGACGTACGTTCTAAGAATGAATTAATGTTAGTTCTGGACAGGCCCAAGTCTTTTAGTAGGTTATAGAGAGATTTAGCTGTTATACCTCTCGCTCCCACCTCTACCGCGTACAAATCAACGACGAACCTATTTCGAGTTAGTTCGTTAGTGAGCTCGTAATACTTATTGACCTTGATGGCATGGTCTTTGGGGATGTTGGTTTCCCAAGGCACCGTAAGCTCTATCATCACAACGCGCTTTAAAATACGCGAATATAGAAATATGTCTGGTCTGGAGGCCGACGCACAAATATCCTCGGGGATTTTGTATTGTTTCTCATACGTATCCATCATGATAGTCCAATCCGAAGCCGCTTTAAGGATAGAGTAAGGCTTGACGTTTGATTTTATAGCCCTGGTGCCCTCTCTCACAAAACCTATTGATCGCTCGTTTGTGGTTATTTCCCTTTGCGCTCTGGCTACCGAAAGACTAACCGCTTCACGTATGATCTCTAAAACCCTATCGTGACGACGCGAGTATTGACCGCTGTCCAGGAGAACCCTACATCCCACCAGCAAATGCTTGGCAGTTCCAACTGCCTTTCCGCAGATATAGCAAGTTTTTTCGGTACCTTTACCCCATCTTACTAAATTACTCTGATCTGGGAGAGTCATCTGGAACGCATTGAGATAAAATTTTAGCAAGGCTGGCGACCAGTCATGAATTAGGGTGCGCCATTTTAGTGCTAGTGGAATGCAAAAATCTCCTATGTCTAACCACTCGTTCTGCATTTCTAAACTCATTGCATGGATCTTGTATTTATCGTTCTCGTCTTGCCGAATAAAAGACTTCAATATATCCGTATCTTGGACTTTCCTACTTGATCCTAACCCTACTCTGTTATTTTGCGCTCCGATCATAAATTGTTTATGGAATTGAAGTCGTGACTCTAGCTCTGGGGCATCATTGTCTTTTGGGAGTGATGTAACGACGTCATCATGGGATTTTCCCAGGATATGTCTCTTGGAAACTCTTAGGTGTTTGTAGAGCTCCGATGGTCTTTTTAGATTCATCCCAAAACTATTACGATCCCTGAATAAAGCCGATGAGTCAGCCGTTAGCGCGAGCCCGAGCCACAACTTCAACATCTTTATGACGCCTGCATCTAATTTAGATAAAAGGGTTTTATGAATCACTAAATCATGTAAGATGTTTCAATCTATCTAGATGAAATTTCTTACATACATACAAGATGGATTAAAGTTAGGATCGTGAAGGAAAAATATGTTGTCTCGTGGGATAAACTCGTCTATAGTTAGCAAATTAAATAAGAAAACCGTGGAAAAAGACTATAGTATTAGATTTTTTTTATGTGAAAGGTGGCAAACGAGGAGACGGCCTATCTGGTGGACAGTAGCCACCGTCGCCAATGGACATCCGCAACAGAGATGTTGAGGATGCGTTGCCAACTTTAGTTTTTTAGGAATAAGGAGGGGTGGAATTACAGAAATAACAGGAAAACGTGAGAATAGTAAGAGGACAACCGGCTCTCTCACTCATCGATCAAAACGAAGCCATTGAAGGCTACTTCACGCCGATCTTCTGTGAGGAAGTGGTACTTCTTCAGTTAAGCCAGCTCATATTCGATCTGTACTTACATGACTAGAGCTAGTCTACCACTTACAGCTACACAGATTATTGTAATATTCCAAATTAAAGTTGATTATATATATATTAATACTACTTACACAATTCCTTTCCAAGCACCCAAGTCTCCGGTTTCGAGTTGACCTCCACAAGCACGGTTGGCGTACAAACCAATAACACCATTAGATCAGCTATACTTAAATTCACCAAGAAAATGTTCGTAGAATTCCTCATATCTTTCGTCTTCAGTATTACTATCGGCACCATAACATTACCTATCACACCCAAACACATTATAACTATACAGAAAGTCATAGAGGTGGCCTTTATATAATACGGTATTTCAGCGTATTCAGTAAAATTGCCGTCAAATGTGGTATTGCTGATAGAACCATTGTAGGTGCTGTTCTCATATCTCTCGAACAAGTTATCCGATTCGCGTGTGTGTGTCGCATTTTTGTATGTGTGTGTGTTGTATTGGATTGTGTGATTTGATGTGTGGGTGAAGTTTGCGATTGAAATCATGTGCGGTTGGGCATCTGTTTTACATTGTACTTTGGCACTTCTTTTTTTGAGATGCAGGATTTCGTTTGATCTGTAACAACATAAATATATATTAGGACATACATTACAAGTTGCTTCTTATTGGTGTTTGATATACTAAACATATGTTTTGATTTGATTAAAATAACAAAAAGTCTCACATATCAGATACCTCTACAAAAAGATAGAAATTCGTAATAAGCCTCACGTTATGGTAGAGAACTAAAACAATGCAATAAACAGTGGAATTGTAAACTTTCCTCTTTTTCGTTGGTTTATTACAACCCGAAAAAAATTAATATCGAAATAATCCGAGTTCTTTGTATAAGCACTATTTCGAGGCTACTTGTGATTCTTGACATTTTGATTATTTGTCCGAGTTGTGGAGTCACTTCAAACATACTACAACAAAAAACTCTATTTGCAATATCGTATTTTTAGTCACGACGTTCTTTAACCTTTGAAGTAAAGTAAATATTTTTAAATATAAGTAATAAATATTTACATCATATACATTATATGTCAACTATTCGATACACTCCAGAGATTCTTGCACAATAAACAGTGCACAAAAACCGCTATAAATCTTACAATATTTGTCCAAATCTATCAAGTCCAGTGTTTATGGCCGTGATTTATGGACTAACTGGTTTTATTCAGTAAGGTATACTTACAAGATACTCGCAACATTTCAACGATAGGATATATTGAATTTTATGTTATTATTTATTTTATTAATGCTTCTATGCCTTGCTCAGCAGTTATAGGCTTGACGACGACGATTTACGAAATATTAAGAAAAATCGATGTAAATTTATATTTTTAGTTAGATTAAACAAAAAAAGGATGCATTCTATTTGATTTATTTATGTTTATGACTTTAAAACCTATATAAATGTGGCTTGAATGAAAATGCTTAAACATTATCAGTATGAAAAGCTGATTAAGATGATGTGTGTTTTATAATGTCGAAACAATTGACGTAGAAGTAATTTTATGGGACATAATTGTTGTAGCGTTTAGTTTAAATACTTTTACTGAACTACAAATAGAGGATTGAAATATTATTTAATACATTAAATAAACGAAATATTTTCTATAACAATAATTATCATAATAGAGCATTAGATCAATTCACAGATCAATTGTTTTAGTGTTTAAGAAAACAATACGATTTACTTAAAGGATATTAAAACTTTGTCAATGACCGAATTATTTCAACCTTGGTAATTTGATCTGTCCTATACAAGTTCAGAACCAAAACATTGTTCTACTCTTTATTAGATTTGTAGCCAAAAAATTACGATGACGAAATGTAGAAAATTGTGAAAACTTTTTAATGTAACTTGTATAAAAAATATGATGATTTAAAAAATAAAAACAAAAACGAAATTTCGTCTTGACATGTGACATTTTCCTTTCATATTATAACTTTATCTGTTTTATTCTGAAATTATCACATTTTTTTCCCTATATCGTTAATTTTATTACATATTCTGGGATCAACACATTTTTACAAATACCAGAAGGATATCAACATTTCATGTTTTCACAAGAAACCTCTTCCCTGTTGAAGTCGTTTTTTTTTTCGTCTTGGTCTATCACATTAATCCGCATTCCATAATTTATGAGTACGGTTGAGAAAAAAATGAATAAAATGTCTTCATACATACAGTGGCCCCCAAAAATTTGCTTGTTAGCGATAAGGTTACCATTTGTTCTTACTTCTATACTTTGACGTTTGTTTTTAGCCTTCTCACTTGTTAATTTTAAAAATAATTATAAATTTAGAAGAAATTAGTATATATATTTTTGAAATATACTTTAACTTTTGTGGCTTTACATTTTATAAGTATTATGATTTTAATATATATTTTTAAAGCTATAAGTAACAATGAAGGCATTTGAAATTGTGATAATAACCTTATATAAAAATATTAGTTTTTATTACATGAATAAATTTTTTTTCAGTTAAAACTAAAAATATAATATGCTGACTGTACTCAGCTATAAGGGCCACAGAGCTGTTGGGGAGGGAATATAAACAAACAAAAATATTATTAACATTGTTACAAGGGTGGTATCACACGAAATATTGCCCTTTGTTGGGACGTTAAAGGAAAGAAAATCTTTTTCCGATAATTCACACAGCGATATATCTTTACAACTCTATGACACCAGCTGAGTGCTACAAGACTGATATTATCCTTACTAATATTATAAAAGCGAAAGTAACTCTGTCTGTCTGTCTGTTACGCTTTCACGCCTAAACAACTGAATTGATTGTAATGAAATTTGGTACAGAGATAGAGTTGTCCTTGAGAAAGAACATAGGATAGTTTTTATCCCAGACTGTTGAAAGTTTTCTCTTGGAAACGCGATATAACCGAACTCCACGCAGGCGAAGCTACGGGCGGAAAGCTAGTATGAAATAAAATATTAGCATGAAGTTAATAATTGCTCAAATTATAAAGGATGAATATATTTCTGTAAGACTTTTCTTAGATATTATAATTTCGTCTTAAATCATCTATATTCATGCGTTTCAACGTACGTGCTTACAATATCCTAAATGGCTTATCATGTAACAGAAAATTGGATCTCATTATTTAGAATGACTTACATTTTTTGTAATGCGACCAAGAGAATTGCTAGGAAATTGATAATGATTAAAATAGAGAAAATTTACAGAACATGGAATCGAGAACAGTTGGAGCATTATTCTGATAAAGGAGGTTTAAATTCTGAAGCAATGGAAACAGTTTTACTACTACTATTTCGTTGTTTGTTAAGAAACTTAGCCTGTAATTTTTTGAAAAAAAATATCCAAGAAATCTGTTCTTATAATAGATATAGAGATTATCATTTTGACGAAAAGAGATAATGTTACAAATTTCCCCCCGTTAAAAATAGCGGCCCTGTCATTACCGAATTCCCATTAGTCTTTAGGTGAAATGGCCAGATTTATCTGTTTAAAACAAAAGTCTCCTTAATGGAGTCAAATTTAATGAAAATTCCATTAAAAGAAAATTAAATGTGTGAGATGAAATTGGAAATTAGAGACAAAGAATAATAATTTCATAGGACCGAAGATTTTTTGGCAAAAATTAATTAGGCATAAAGTTTATTTTTTCATATAATAACTTACCCTATATAAAGTATGTTTATTTCTTTTAGCGTTAGTTATTTATAAAAACTAGAATATAGTTTTTAAAAACAATAAAATACGCGTCATCATCATCAGCCTATCAGAGCCCACTGCTAAACAAAGGCCTCTTCTCACATGGAGAAGGTTTGAGTATTAATCACCACGCTTGCTCATAATACATAATATCACCGGTTTTTGATTTCAAACTTATAATTGTGAAATTATAAGTCTGGGTTTTCTCACTATTTTTTTCTTCACCGTCTGTCAGCGGTGTTTAAATACAATAAGAAGATACATATGACTCTTAAAAATCACATTGGTACTTGCCCGGTTTCGAACCTTCGCTTAGTAATCCAAAAATATTAGTTTCATTTAAATGAATACTCGCGAAAGTCTTACTTCTCATTGTTTGAACTATTTTAAGAATGATGAATCTAATACATTTTGATCTTGACTCTTCAGTGACACTTCATTTCATGTATTTTGGCAGCTGAATGGCACGTATTATTTCTGAATTAGCTGTTATTAAACCAAGCGTTTTCGTTCTACACTACGAGTATATTATTCTGTTTCCCTTCCAACTTTTAATCACTTCTAACACAGATGCGATCAGATGGAAAGAATTTTGTTAGAATAATTTAACTGGCCTTCGTGAAGTTTGGCAAAGGCTAAAATTAGTTTATTTTAGTTTAGTTTCAGATCAATTAAAGTTTAAAATATCATAAGTTTTAGATTTCAAAAGGGAATTATGTCCTTTAAAATTATGATATTTTGTGAACATTTGATGTAAGACAAATTCTACTAAAATGATATCTTCCATTTTCTCGAGTATTTATTTAAATGAATTTCGAATATACAATGCGTATTTATTATTTTACAGTAACAGTGATCAGGGGTCAGACGAAAAAAAGTATACTTTTTCGGTCAAATATAAAATAAAACAATCAATTCTGGTATAATAGAAAATCATAGTTACGTTTAGAAGTCAACAGTTATTAATAATATCAAATCTAAGAACCAAAAAGATAGGTATGCGTACTCCAAGTTTGTATCAACACACTACATACGCAGCGTCTCTCGTTTTTCATTCAATAACCCACGTTAATACTATCATGTGAGAAGATTTACGAGTGCAAAACTTTTGAGGCTACGCTCTCTACAATTTGTTTGAAAACGGTCACTAAGAATAGGTACTAGTGAGTAGTCGAAACACAAGGCAAATTTATATTTGTTATAATTAAATAGAAACTCATTTGTTCAAAAGAATAAAAGTCTTCTCTAAGTACTAATAAGTGTAAAGCGCGATTTAAATTAAATTAAAATACGAACATTGTAAGACTGGACAGAACTAAGAATAGATCTGAACAAAATTGTAGTTTACATCGTCCCAATAATAATGAGTGTTTTCAGTTACTCACTCGCTACTATTGTATGTATATGAATAGATTTGTGTATGGAAAACTGTAACTTCGTATAGACGGTACAAGCTTGTGGTAGGGGTATCAGTTTTATAATTATTATTTGTAATTTACATGTATCAAACCATTTATTATATATAAGAGAAAGTTATGTTATTTACACCATTTATGACTCAAGAACGGCTGTAAGAATATGGTTAAAAATTAGTGGCAAGATAGCTTAGAACCAAGAGACGGACATAGAATATTTAATTCTCTTTGATCGAAAAAATCTTTCTAAATACCAATATCTGGTTATATACCTCTAGGGCGGAATATAGTTCGCCCGGTCAGCTATACATATATCACTAATTCCGAAATTAACGCCTTAGATATCGCGGGCAAAATATAGTTTTAAATAAAAGTGAATAAATAATACTATTGTAATTATACATACATATTTTGATATACAAAAAAAAATCGGCTGTAGTTGTATATGAAAAAGCA